GGGGACGTTATACAATCTAGTTGTTTGTGTCATGAGAGGTTATGATTTTGCAACAATGAACACTGTAAAACGGTCTCCAGGGTATTTATTATTTATTTTATCCTACCCCTCGATAATGCGCCCGTGATGTTTTGCAAGACTGAATAGTGTTGTTCCCGGATTTGTTAAACGGAGCATCTCAGTAAATAATTTGAAGTCGCTGGTTGAATCTGATTTCGATCTAATTTGTGTAAACAGGTTCTGACAAACGATAAAGAAAAAGAAAGCGGCGGTGTTTCACAACGCATATGAATATGCATTTGTTAATGGTACACTGGGAGAAATCCCTTTCTGATGCGCTCATAAACATAACTGCTTTTCCAGGCTTGTGGAGGCTTAGGGTGAGATGAAGTAGAATCATTTTTTTTTTTTGCTTTGAATTCTTGGAAAGGCATCCATTCTAATTTAAGTTGTAAAACTTCTTTCTTCATCTAGTTTTTAAAAACAGTTTTAAAGTGCATGGTTTTGCTTGGAACTAGAAGAGACTAGACATATGAATTTGCAGAGCTTATATTTCTCCACGCAAACTCAACGTTGAGGTTTAGTGAGGCCCGGAGGACTCAGACACAGGAAGCCTTCTTTAACTTTCAAGTTACTGACTTCTTGCACCTTACTGTTAGGATAGGAAAAACAGTTCTTAACAAATTGCTAGTGTTGCTCTCATTCCTTTCTTTTTCTTAAAACTGTCTACTTTTAGTTTTTAATTTATTTTTATTTCATGTGCAGCGGTATTTTGTCTGCATGGATGTCTGTGTGAGAATGTCAGATCCCCTGAAACTGGAGTTACAGACAGCTGTGAGCTGCCGTGGGGATGCTGGAAACTGAACCCCCGTCCTCTGGAAGAGCTGCCAGAGCTCTTAGCCTCTAAGCCATCTCTCCAGGCCCTCCTCCTTCTTTTTACTATTTTTATTGTGTTGTTGTTGTTGCTTTTTGCTTAAAATTTTAAAAAATAAACCATTGATCATAGATAGTACGCCAGACAAAACCACCTTCTGCCATGCTGCTGTTTAGAAAATGTGTCCTGTTCTCTATGACCCTACCACTGGCGTGGGAACAAAAACCTGGCATGGTGGCACACACCTGCCTGTAGAGGGGGAGGCAGGAAGGTCAGGAGTTCAAGGTCACCCTCAGCTGTGTAGCAAATTCAAAGCAAGCCTGAAATATAAGAGATCCTGTCTCAAAATAATAATTTTAAAAGTTTGTTTCCATGTGGATTGTGAGTTATTCCAGTGGACTCAAAACACTAAAGTTTCTTCTCTTTTTCTTTATCTTTTTTTTTTTTTCTGAGTTTTTGAGACAGGGTTTCTCTGTGTAACAGTCCTGACTGTCCTAAAACTCACTCCGCAGACCAGGCTGGCCTCCAACTCACAGAGGAGATCCACCTGCCTCTGTCTCCCGAGGGCTGGGATTAAATGTGTGTGCCACCACCGCCCAGCTTGAAGTTTCTTTCCATAAACAGGGACGTTTGTTATATAGGATGAACAGGCAGTGTTACTATAAATCAGGAGTTCACTTGAGCAAGAAAGGCACAGTTAACAACCATGCTGCAACGGCTGACTTAAACCCTGGCATGCCTTTGGTAGTCACTCCATTTTACCTGAAAGTAAACAAGCAGAATAGCTTTCTTGTTTTGCTTTTTGTGGTTTTATTTATTTATTTACTTTGAAACAAGATCTCTGTAGCCCACACTGGCTTCAAACACTGAGCCATTCCTCTACCTGAGTACTAGGAGTACAAGTGTGAGCAGCTATACCTGAATTTTTTAAACAACAACAACAACATTTCATCTATTTATTTTGCTGTATGTGTTAGGCAGACAGTATGCCATGGAGCTACATACTTCAGCCCAAAAGAAAATTCTAAGAGTTTAAAGTCCTTAGAATGGCCAGGAATAGTGAGACATTAGCGTAGTCCCAGTTACTTGGAAGGCTGAGGCAGAGAGCATCACTTGAGCCTGGGAGACTAACAGAGTTAGACCAACAGAACCTGGACCAATAGTTACATCCTATGTCAAAAAAAAAAAAAGGAAGGAAGGAAAGAAAGAAGAGAAGAGAGCTGAAGAGATGGCTTGGTGCTTAAGAGGATTTTATGTGCTTTTACAGAGGACCTGGATTTGGTTCCCATCACCCACATGGCAACCCACAACCACCAGGAACTCCATTTCTGTGGGCACCAACACTCACACATATAAAATAAAGTAAATAAGTCAGAAAAGAAAAGGAAAGGAAAGAAAAGAAAAGAAAAGAAAAGAAAAAAAGCCTTTCGTCTCATTCCAAGCTGGGTTTGCCGGGTGTCTGGAGCAAGTGTGTGCTTGCAGGAGGACCCTGCTCCCTTGGCCTTTCTTCAGACATCATTGGCCCTGGCACTTTGCACTGCTGTTTGCTGGAAATCTAACGTGCATCTCTGAGCTGTGTCCTAACCAGAAACCAGTCTGGGTACCTTGCTTCTCCGACACCAGCTGCTCAGCGCTGCACACGCACTGTCTTCCCGCCGGCTCCCTTGTCACAGCTATTATTAACATCCTCCCTGTAATTGTTAGCTCTTATTGTGTGCAGCGTCTGGGCTAAGTGCTTCTCAGACATTATCCATCCAGTCTTAGGAGTCAGGTACTATATTGTCCTCATTTTACAGAGAAACTTAAGTTAAGAACACTTGTCAAAGAAGGGAGACAGGCTAGACTTGAGAAATTCCTTTGTCAATTGCCCCACTGTTCTTTCTAAGCCTGCCTACCTACATGTATTCCTTCCTTCCTTTCTTTCCCAACAATATCTCACTCTGTATTTTATAGCCCAGGCTAGCCTAAAATTTATTATGTAGCCCAGGCTGACCTGGAACTCACTATGTAACCCAGTTCTCCTGCCTCAGCTTCCTGAATGCAGAATGACAGTGTGAACCGCGATACCCAGATACATCTTCTTATCTTTTTAAGGCATTTCCCTTTAAAATTATTTTTGCTTGGATTCATTTATTTTATTTTATGTATATGAATGCTTTGCTTGCACGTATGTCTGAACATTATGTGTCTCCTGGGACTAACATTGTGGACATCTATGAGCCACCATACTAGGTACTAGGAATTGAACCCCAGGTCTCTGTAAGAGCCGCTCATGTGAGCACGCGCGCGCACACACACACACACACACACACACACACACACACACTGAGGCCCACAATTCCTTGTGGCCTAGAGAAACAGATGGGATAAGACTTTCCTGAAGAGGTGGCGGAATTGAGCTGAGAGCGGAGTTTAGTGAGCGAAGATGAGCAGTGTGGAATTGTCTGGCCCATCCAGAAAATACTCTTTGGCTCTAGCTGAAACATGGGGGCTGAAAAGAAGAGATGACACCCAAGGGGGAGCTGGGAAAAGGAAGCCGGGTCATAGACTGAGAGCCCAGGCTGTGGGTTGAAACTGAGGCTGTGGAGCCGGGAATGGCAGGGTCGGAGCTACTGGGAAGTTCAGTTGTCTGATGCGCTAGGCAGTTGGAGGGCTGGAGCCATAGCTGAGGCCAACACCTACAGGCTATTGCGGTATCAGATGTGCAGTCATGAAAGTAGAAAAAAATAAGACTAAAAGCCTGGAAATTCATAAGACACACTGAGGGAAAAGTGCTCGAGATGGGAAAATATCAGAGTCCTCAGAACAAGGAGCCCAAGTGAAAGCCAGTAGTTCCATGTTCTACTGTCCCAACCACCTCCAAACAGTAAGGATATTTTCAGTCCCTTCCTGTCTGATCCTGCCTGTCTCTTCCATGTGGCTATGATGTGTGCCCAGGACAGTGTGCAGTGCTCCGACTGCACCCATTCCATGTGGGCCACATGAAAACTGGGATCCTCACCAGCTGCCATTTGGGTTCCTGTGCCTCTCACGGCCACTGTGGCTATAGCAGGAAGAAATCTCGCTCCTTGCATTGATGAGCTCGCCTTTTCTTAAATGATTTTTGTGGGGGGAGAGGAGGAGGTGTTTTGTCAGCAAATCCAGGGGTGTGCATAGGTCAGGAGTTCTTGTTCTGAGGAAAATAATCACACTGTCAGATTTCTGTGAGTAACTGGGAGGCGGCCAGGGACCCATCTCCGATCCACAGCCAGTTTCGTAACAAACTAATCTTATCAAGTTAAGAAAAATGCCTCTGCTCAGGGGTAACTTCAGGGGGGAAATTTTTCCCTTTCTATTTGTTTGGTAGATAAACATATTTAAAACAAAATGGGGGAAAAAATTCTAGGCGTGTTACTTTTTCTTTTCTCCGGCTACTATTCAGTCTGTCTGTGGACAGATCCCGGGTGGCTTGTTTGCTGGGACTGTTATTAACACAAAGCAGTCATTCCAGTGAACTTGGCCTGTTGTTTGGGCCTGGTGCCCACCTTCTGTGTAGTGGGAACTGGCCTGGAAGGTGGTTTGCTGACTCGGCGCATTCTGTAATAGTCAGCAAAGACTAGAGTTTCCACACTGAGTTAGGCAACTCAGGCAAGGGATAGGAATTCGCAACCAGGATGTGATGCGGAGAATCTTGGCAATTCTCTGCAACCTGCCCACAAAGCCTCCTTCATTTCTCTATAAGGAGCCTGGGCATTGCTGGTGGTTTCCTTGTTTCTTTGTTTGTTTGTTTGTTTTTAGAGATTATTTTTTAAGTTGAAAAGCTAGATTAAAAAAACCAAAATCACAGTACACTATTTGCTCAATAGCGCACAGTCATTTACATGGTCATAAAACTTGAAACATTGATTTTTTTAAAAAAAACATATATTTTCTTTTCATCATACTTGGTCCTGGATTATAAGAGTATTTCATACAAGTGTGTATTGAACTTTGGCTATATTGCCCCATACTCTGCTGCCCCCCCCCCCATTTAATCGCCTTTGTCCCCCTAAACAGCTTCTCTTTCTCTTTCTTTTTAAATCTATTATTTATGTGTTTACTGGTGCCATGGAAGGGCATGAGAGAGTTTGGGATTCCCTGGAGCCGGAGTTGCAGGCATTCCTAAACAGCCCAATGAGGTGCTAGAACAGGGACGTCAGGATAGAACAGAAAGCTCTTTAACTGCCCGGCCTTTGCTAGCTCTTAGAGCAGGCTCATTCTGCCATCAGAAAGGAGAAAGAGCGACCAGTTTGTTTGCCTTTCTCTAGACAGAAACAAATTGGTGGGTTTGAGGCGGAGGCTTTTTTTTATTTATTTATTTAGAGTGGTCTGCAGTCTCTTGCAGGTACCACCTGGTGTTGTGAGGTTGAAACAAGGTGACAAGAAAGCGTCTAGCCCAGGCCCCCAAGCAAGGAGCTTCACTGTTGTTTTCTTCTCTGGATGGTGGCCTCCTCCCCACGAGGCCGGCAGCTAAGGCTGTGATACCACAGAACCTTGTTGTCCCAGCATTCACATAAGAATCGTGCCAAGATCTCACACAGCACTAATACTCAGTGACACCAGGACTGTAACAACCTAATCTGTCCCCTAGCCTTTTCTGCTTTGCAAGTCCTTTTGTTGTTATTGTTTTGACTGGGGCTGTTTGTTCTGTTCCGTGTTCCGTTCCGTTCTGTTGTGTTTTGTGTTAGAGACAGAATGTTATGCAGCCTAGGCTGGCCTTAAACTTGGTATGTTCCGGGGCCACCCTTGAACCCCTAATCCCCACAGGAAGATTGCAAGCTTTCAGGACCAAGCCCAGCTTTTGGCTTTGCTGGTGTTTTACATTGCCCAGAAAACTACAGTACATGTGGAAGTTTCGGATGCTCCTCTAGTTTCTAATTCTTTTCACTGTGGGGCACCTAAGGATGGAAAAAAAAAAAAAAAACAAGTAAAAATGGAAACCCTGCTGAAGTCTGACGGATTTCAGAACTTGCATACGCAGCCAGACTAGCAGAGACTGGCCACCTTTCCAGACATCTTCTAAATGCACAAGGTCACCTGAGAAGTGACTGTCACTCAGCAGTTCTCTGGGATAGCATGAAGGAGGTCCTCCTTCTTGGCCTGCTGCAGAGGGGTTCACAGGGAGCAGGGGTGAGACGCCCACGCCCTCTCACCTGGAGTCGGAACTGCCCTCGGCCAGCTCTCGGTTACACAACACCTTCCATTTGCTTTAGAGTCTGAGTTCTGTGCAGAAGGTGACACACCTTCAGTGTTTGATGCAGAAATAGGACGAGGGAGGAAGGAGCCCAGGAAGGATTTCACCGGCCTCTTTCCCCGCAGTGTTCGTGCTTATCCTAACGTTTCTCTTGATCTCGAGTAGAAAAACAGTTTTACTAACAACCGATGTTTAAGGTCTGAAGTGTGCGAACCCTTTTTCCATTGTGGGAGTGTCTCCGACCCATCAGTAATTACTCTCCTGAGATACTAACCTAATTATTCTGTTATCTCCACCTAAATCAAAAGTAGGACACTAAATTCATAGGAATGTTAATGGCTGTGTTTAATTGATTTCAGTGTTTCATAAGAGCAGCCTTTTAGTTCTACATGGAGTATTTTTTTTTATTAAAAGAGAAAAAAGGTAAATTTGATCTGTTTTAATGAAAGAATATCACCAGTAGGTAGTTAGAAAAGAGTTGTTCGAATTATCCGCGTGACTCAGGTGTCAGAATTACATCACGTCATTCAATTTTTCTACCAAAAGAAAGTAATTTTGGACCAGGTCCCTGCTGACCATGGATTTTTCTGAGTCTTGTAGCAAAAGGTTGTGTTTAAAGAAGGGAAAAAAACCTGCCTGTGGTATATTTACATAGCCATATAGGACTGTCTGAGGTGTATTTACCTAGCCCTATAGGACTGTCCGTGATGTATTTATCTAGCCCTACAGGACTGTCCGTGGTGTATTTACATAGCTCTACAGGACTGTCCGTGGTGTATTTACATAGCTCTACAGGACTGTCTGCGGTGTATTTACATAGCTCTATAGGTATAATGTATGTGGTGTATTTACCTAGCCCTATAGGACTGTCTGCGGTGTATTTACATAGCCCTACAGGGCTGTCGGTGGTGTATTTACATAGCCATATAGGGTCTGGAGAGATGGCTCATGCTAAGCACACTTTCTGCTCTCGTAGAGGACCTTGGTTAGGTTCCCAGCGCTCACATGATGGCTCACCACCTGTGACTCCAGCTCCAGGGGATCCAATGGCCTCTTCTGGCCTCTGAAGGCAGGACCCTTCATATGTATGGTGCACATAAACTCAACCAGGCACAGACATAAGTAAACAAATAAATAATAGCATGCACTGTTGTTCTATGTTTTAGGTAACTCATTTCATGTAGAGTCAAGTAGAGTGAGGAAACGTATTTTGTTGCTATTATTTTATGTGTCAGTAGTCAATAATAAAAAGAAACATTTGATTTTTTTGTGGCTACTGCTTCCTTTACAACTTCTATTCTCTTTCAAATTTTTATCTTTCGGTGCTGGAGTATTATTTGTGATCTCAGACATGCTATATAAGCATTTTACCACTAAATTCTATCCTTAGCCTGGTACTCTATCATCTTAAAATAAAAGTTTTAGGAGATTGAAGCATTCATTGCGGCAGCAAGGGTTCTGTGTTTATGCCAGTGAGCCATCTGGAAGCCATGTTCACGTATTTAATATCCCTGCATTGCACGGTGTTCAGTATTCCCGCCCATGATCCAGGTCGTTAAGCCAAGGGAAAAGACAGCAAAATAATTGCTGTCTTTATTTTCATTTCTGCAAAATCTACTCACCCAGATGATGGGGGGGGGCGCTAATGAGGGGTTCATGGGGTTCGCTAAACACGGAGGTGGTAACAAAGAACCTAGACTCTGACTCCAGATTTGGGCTTTGGGCTGTGTGGTCTAACCAGAAAGCGCCAAGTAGTCAAATGTGAGTGTCAGACTGTACCTGGGGCCCAAGACCACTATTTCAGTGGCAATGTGGACATGTTCATCTCCATTTAAAACAGAAGCTCTCTGACACATAGGGAGTATGGAAGGCTACCATTAAACATTCACAGCTGAAATGATTTTGTTGAGTAGAGAACTTAGGATTAGCTTAAGTTTAAGTTTAGAAGGACTCTCGGTCGCAAAGAATTAAATATTAGGACAGTTTTCGACACGTGACTCTCTTCTTTGTTATCTGAATGTAAGATTTAAAAAAAAATGGTGTGTCCGGACTGTACTGGTGCTCAGTAACATACTCTAGGGTAACATAAAATCAGATTGCATGCTTGCAACATATAAGAGCTGCAGAGTAGGGGCTGGAGCAATGGCTCAGTGGTTAAGAGCACTGGCTGCTCTTCCAGAGGACCCGGGTTCAATTCTTCAGTTCCTAGAACCCACGTGGCAGCTCACAACTCTCTGTAGCTTAAGTTCCAGCGGATCCCACACCTTCACACCAATGTAGTGGATGTGACAATAAGATTGTAACTCAGTACCATCTGAGCCACCCTTCAGGTGGCAATGAGAAGCTGGGACATTCATTCCAAACTTAAGTACTGTGGGGAAGCTTGGGAAGTGGGAACCAGTGCTGTAGATGACCCCACTGATGATAAATCCAAGTCCCAGAGAAAAGACAAGCCAGCCTGTCCTCAAACGAGCCCGGGCCTTCCTGTGTGGACTGACCAGTTCATAAAGTATACAAAACATCCACTTCTGCATGCTGAGTCCTTCCAAGACACAGAAGCAAGGGCTGGCCCCATGGCTCAGCAGTTAAGAGCATGTGCTATTCTTGCAAATGACTGAAGTTCAGCTCCCAGCACCTAGGCTGAGCAGCTCACAACCATCTGTAAGTTCAGATGCACAGGGACCTAGGCCCTCTCCTGGCCTCCACACGAAGAAGGGGCACCTTCGGCAGCTCTGAGCCGACAGCGGTCGCGTCGTGTGGCTGGTGTTAAGGCATGGCCTGTGCTTCTCTCTCCCCAGGGCACCTGGACGATGATGGGTTACCACATGGGCTCTGCACCGTCACCTACTCCTCCACAGACAGATTTGAGGGTAACTTCGTGCACGGAGAAAAGAATGGACGCGGGAAGTTCTTCTTCTTTGACGGCAGGTAGCCCTCGCTGATCTGATTTGTGTGGGGTTGGAGGGGGGGGTGTCTCCCAATTACTTCAAAAGAAGGAATGATACAAATGCATGGATTCAATTAAAAGTTTGTGGACACCTCATGCAGAAGATGAGTGAGAGTAACCCCAATGTGTAGGCAAGGCTTTGGTGACCAGAAACGACAGTGGTGGCCATACGGAAGTCAGCCTGAGGTGTGCTGAGCCTGGCATTGTCTGTCCAGTGATGTCCTGCTAAGTCAGATTCAGGGGGACCCATTTGCACAAATACAGTTCAAAAACCTGTAACATAGCTCAATGACATCACACAAGCGGGAAAGCAAGAACTGACAGCCCAGGTTGTCCTCTGACCTCTACATGTAGCATGGCCCTCACTCATATGTGTCTATGTGCACAGGCACACACTTCATATATGCACACATACTCACACATCGTATATGCATGTACAATACCCTTTGGATACCTGGTCCCAGGGTCTCTTTCAAGGTGTTGGCATCAGTGGCCCCTCTTTCAGAAGCTTCTGTCCAGAAAGTAATTCTCCTGCTCCACTTCCATGACAATTTAGCCAAAGCTCTCCTACTGGAAAATGGCTATTGTTCCTTTGCTCTGAGATTATTTTTTTATTCATTCAATGATGTATGTTTTTATAAATGTCTTCTTTCCCCTCCCCACCTAAGGAGAATTTCCTTGAGTGCAGAATCTCTGTGACTTCTACTATGCTTTATGACACTTTCCCTTAACTTAATACTTTAAAACAACGATAGTATAGTCCTTGCCATGTGGATGTGGGAACCGAAAACAAGTTAGAACAGATGGCCACACACATACACACACTCATGTACTCACCCATGCACAAACACACACATGCACACACACCCATGAGCGCATTCGCACTTTAAATTTGGTAGTTAGATAAGGATAGCCAACAACTGACTAACGTGTAGGAAAACAGTCAAGCTACTTGGTTGTATTTAGTTATATGTAGCTTTACAGACCTGGTGTACAAGAGCATTAATGAGCTCATTTGAGCTAGACCGAGCATTTAAACCAGTGTGCCAAAAATGCACTCCCTGTTAGCCACAAGAAACTGAACCCTTAGTAGGCAGGTGGGGACCAAGATTCCTCTTCAGATGGCACACGGTCTGGAACATGACATCAGATGTGTATGGTCCTGAGGATACTGTGGGAATGCTTTTCTGGTACTGAGAATGCTTTGTTATCTGCACCTCTGATTGTAATCTCTAATCTTGATGTTTAGTACAGTTTAACTGTTCTCTGTTCCACCAAAATGTGTAAAAATAGAGCCAGAACTTGTCACTAGCTTAGAATTGGGAGAAGAAAAAGAAAAAGAAAAACAAACCATTGGCATCTACTTTCAGGCTATGGAATGGGAATATTAGGGAATCGTGTGGTCTGAAACCCAAGACAAAAGTGAGGTAGTTTATTATATGTATGGTTATCCTTTGGTATTGGGAAACCAAGGACCTCATGATGCTGAGTGTTCTACCACCGAGCTTCATCTCCTGGTAATTTATTATATGTATGGTTATCCTTCGGTATTGGGGGACCAAGGGCCTCATGATGCTGAGTGTTCTACCACCGAACTTTGTTGCCTACTCTTTCAATGCTGTTCCAAGTTGTCTGGCTGTCCTCACACCTGCTGTCCTCCTGCCTCTTCTGTAGAGTGCTGACGTCACCAGCGTGTGTGATAGAACCCAGAGTGTAAATATTTACTGTTAGTGCTTTTCCTGGGTGTGCCAACTGGTTTTCAAAGGATTTGCTATGCTTTTATTTCTCTATACCCAAGTCATTTTTCTTTTGTGTGTGTGCATATGTATGATATGTGTGTATATATGTATATGTATGTGTATGTGTGTACACACTTGTGGAGGATAAAAAAAGCTTCATTGTTGTTCCTCATTGCCATGAATCTTGATTTATCCTTTTTTTATTGCATTAATTGATTTATTGGGAGGGGCTAAACATGTCACAGTGTGTGGAGGTCAGAGGACAGCTTGCAAGAGTTGGTTCTCTCTTTCTACCATGTGGGTGCCAGAGATGAAGCTCGGTTATCAGGCTTGGTGGCAAGCCTTTACCTGCTGAACCATCCAGAAGGCCACATCTTAGTGTGCTCTGTGTTTCTTTGTTTTGAGACAGGGTCTCTCCCTGACTTGAAACTCACCAAGTAGGCTAGGTGGATTACAAATCCACGCCGTCATACTTGACTTTGTGTTTTAAGTGGGTTCCAAGGGACAAAGGCACAGCCTCATGTTTGCAAAGCAAGCAACTTGTCACCTGAGCCCCAGCCTCCCAGAGCCAGTTTCTGACTTTGGCTTCCTATATTGATGTGTCCTAATCAGGGGACCCTACGCGCTGGAGGCCAATGAGCACAGCTGACATTTCCCAGGTTCTTACAAGGTGCTTGATCGTGTCTCAGAGAAGCTGGGGTGGAAGTGAATTTTTGAAATCACGTATTCCAGCCTCTCATGTGAGGCAAAATCCTTTCTATGTTCCTGACCATCTTCAGGCTTTTGTTGGAACCACGGTCAGCAAGCAAATACATTTGGATTTACAATTCCATGTTTATAAAGAAATTAAGGCTTGGGGAGGCTGAGTAACTTTCCCAGAGTTCCCTAACTAGTAAGAATAGAGTTGAGATGAATTTATTTCTATATTTTCTTTTTTTGTGTGTGTGTGGGCGGGGGGGATTCGAGACAGGGTTTTTCTGTAGCTTTGGAGCCTGTCCTGGAACTAGCTCCTGTAGACCAGACTGGTCTTGAACTCACAGAGATCTGCCTGCCTCTGCTGGGATTAAAAGCGTGTGCCAACATTACCCAGCCATTTCAATATTTTCTTCCTCCCTTCCTTCCTTTTTTTCCCCCTGAGGCAGAGTCTCGTGTACCCCAGGCTGGCCTCACACTCACTTTGTAGCTGAGCATGATCTTGAACTCCTAATCTTCCTTCCTCTATCTCCCAAGTTCTGAGATTACAGATGTGAAACACTGACTAAATTCATTTTCACAGGCAACCGTTTTTTTCTTACTACTTCTGCCACTGCGTTCTCACCAGAAGTGAGAAAATAGTAATGGGTCTGCTTCCTTTTTTCTGTGCTTTCTTTGTTTTCTTTCTTTCTTTTCAAGGCAGGGTTTCTCTGTGTGGCCCTGGCTGTCCTGGAACTCACTCTGTAGACCAGGCTGGCCTCAAACTCACATTTCTTTGTTTTCTTTAAGGTTACTTCTTAGCTATTTTTGGTTTATTTGTTTGGTTGGTTGTTTAGTTGTTTGTTTGTTTTCCAAGGGTTTCTCTGTGTAAAGCCCTGCTGTCCTGGAACTAGCTCTTGTAGACCAGGCTGGCCTTGAACTCACAGAGATCTGCCTGCCTCTGCCTCCCGAGCACTGGGATTAAAGAAAGGTGTGTGCCACCTCCATCCGGCCAGGTTCTTTTCTATAGGTGCGTTAGCTCTTGCTAGGAGCCCGACAGGTTGATGGAAGGTATTCCTGAAGGGTCATCTTCTTTGGTAGTGGCCTCCCCAAACTCCTGTTTTCTCATTTGTAGGATGGGGACAAATGATTGAGTGAGAAAAGCTACAAAGACCTTGGAAGACATTGCACATCTGCCAAGTGCCGGGGGAGGGGATGGATGGAGCTGGTGACTAATCCTGATGTTCCTCCACTCTTAATTGATTACAGTGGCCTAGAAGACTGCTTGCTAGGGAAAAGATCAAAGTGTCAAATGTCTTAACGTTGCTACAGTCACGCAACCATCAACTACTCCTAAAGGTGTGGCTCCCCCATTCTCCTCCCCACCCAACCCCATCAGCAAGCAAGCAGTTCAGCACCAGGTACCAACCAGTGTTCACACACTCCAGTTCATTTCTGATGATGTCTACCTGAGGTGTGTTCACCTCTCATAGTTCTGGAGGGTTGAGAGCTTGGAGATCAAAAGCTATTAGATTGGAGTCTGGCGGGGACCTGCTTCCTGGCTTACAGATGGCTGCTTATCTTGTCACGGGCTGGAGAAGGAAGCCAGAGAAAGCAACCTCCCGTGCGTCTTTTATACGGGCAGGAAGTGCACTCAGGAGGGCTCTGACTTCATAATACCTCCCTCAACACATCACCTCTTAGGACTACCCCACTGGGAAATAAGGTTTCAATGTACAGATTTTCCAGGGACCTAAACATTCAGTCCATAACAGTACATTTTTCAGGGTTTCCTCTTAAAGAAGAGAACAAAACTGTGCTAATTGCTGTTATTTTGGGTCTTTGTGATCATCAGATTCTCTAGACTCACACATCCTCTGTGAAAGGATTAGAAACAAAGACAGAAGCGACTTTGAAGGTGCCCGGCACATGGGCTAACAAACTGCAGGAAGAGCTCCGCTGTTTGCCCATCCCACCCTGAAGGCTGAAGGTGTTATCTGGAAGTAGCTTTAGCAGATAGGTTTCGCCTTTCTCTGCTTGCAGTATTGGCTAATAATACAGCCACATGGAATAGTTTCTAGAACCATGTTTTCAAACTAAGCCACAATTCGATTTGTTAGAGATGAGACTTGAATGTAGAATCTGATTCCCTTTCAAGTTTCTTTCTCGACTCTTATATTGACGAGGACATACTAGCAGGTGTGTCCAGACTTTTATATTGGTCACAATGTTCCAATATAGAAAGTTAGACACACCTGCTAATATTTTTTTGTAGTTTCTTTTTTTCTTTAATTGAGATATACATTTTCTCTGCTCCCCTTCCTTCCTTCCCTCTCCTCTTCTACCCTCTCCTGGGACCCCAACACTCCCAATTTACTCAGGAGATTTTGTCTTTTTCTCCTTCCTATGTAGATCCAAGTATGTCTCCCTTAGGACTCTTTGTTGTGTGGTTTCTCTTGGCTTGGGATACAGTGTTATTATCTACAAAGTTCAGACTTGAAAAACACAGTATAATAGAGTTACCAAAAGAAAAAAAAATCTTAAGTTTTAACCAAGTTTGAGATTCAGTGTTGGCCACATTTATAGCTACCCCACAAGCTACAGGTTGGGCACACCTGTTAGAGAAAAGAAACAACCGTTAGGTCCAGAGGTGGAAAGGGTAGAAACTCCTCAGTCTCCAAACTATGAAGAAAAGCTAAACTTCCTAAATACTTTTGTGTATTCAGACACTATGAGGCGACTTCCAAATGAAAATACGGTAATGTTTAAATAAAATGCAGGTGTGTCAGTTGGGGTGCGCAACTGCTCAACTTCTCCTCTATTTAAAGTTCTAGTTCCTAGTTTAATTGTTTTTGGAAACTTAGCACCTCGTAAAATAAAAAGGCTTGGCCAGTCGGTGGTGGCGCATGCCTTTAATCCCAGCACTCGGGAAGCAGAGGTAGGCAAATCTCTGTGAGTTTGAGGCCAGCCTGGTCTACAGAGCGAGTTCTAGGACACGCTCCAAAGTTACACAGAGAAACCCTGTCTCAAAAAAAACAAAAAATAAAAATAAAATGTTGAAAAAATTAAAAGGCCTGCATATGTGAGGAGTAAGAAATGTAGTTAGGCTGATGTTTTCATTTCTCCTAAGTTTTCCAGTTGTTTGCTTCAGATACCATTGCCAGAAAAACCAAACCATGCAATGCCCATTGTGGTCGTTTCTTAAGATCATCCTGAGGAGTCTGTCAGCAGGTTAAAAGGAAACATGGATTAAGAACATTAAAACTGGGCCTAGAGAAATGGCCTCCTGGTTAAATACTTGCTGCTTTTTCAGAACGCCCACGTTAGATAACTCACAACCACCTGTAACCCCAGATCCAAGAGACCTGACACCCTCTCCTGACACACACACAAAGAAAGAAAGAAAATTGACACAGCAGGCGCTATTAGTGGGGGCCTATGTCTACAGTTCCAGCACTTGAGAGGTAGAGGCAGGAGGATCAAGTGTTCACCGTCATGCTTAGCTACATGGTGAGTTCAAGGCCAGCCTGAGTACATGAGGCCTTGTCTCGAAAGGAACAGCAGTGAGATACGGAGCTGAGCATGGTGTTCTAAGCTTGTAACCCAACACCAAGGAAGAAGAACAGAGGGGTCCTGAGCTTGAAGGTAGTCTGGACTACGCAGTGAACCCCTGCGCCCAAGGGCGGGGCGGGGGGGGGGGGCAAGGAAAAGAAAGACGATGGGGAGGGAGAATGGAAATGTGTGATGTTTACATAAAAAGGTCAAACAAATACTTTGGATCAGAATAGTGAAACTCTATACTTTCTGTAGCTTAGTGATACTTAAGTTTGTTTGGTTTGTTACAACGAACACTTTGCTTTTTATTTTTAACATAAAAGGTATCTATTCCTTTCTTCCATTCGATGGGTCATTCATAAATTACTGCAGAAAGAGAGACAGCTTTCTTACATCCCTGAAAAGGTGCTTTCCAGGGTCTGGAATTTAGGCTAGCTGTAATGCCCTTTGCTATCCCGCCTTCAGAAACCGCGCTCACTGTGCACCGTAAGCCTGCTGTGCACAGAGGAAAATGACTATCTCCCTTGAGAGGGGAGTGAGAATGCGCTCACAGGCCAAGAGGTGAGGACAGACCATTGGACATCATTGGGACTGAGATCAAAACAAGATGACTCAGTGGAGCTGGGTGTAGAGGCCCCTCCCTGAGTCCCAGCGCACAGGCAGGCGGATCTCTGAGCTGGAGGCCAGGCTGGTCTATATGGTGAGTTTCAGGACAGTCAGGGCTATACAAAGAAGCCCTGTATGGGAAAAAACCAAAAGCAAACAAACAGAAAGATGACTCAGGGGTAGAAGCATCTGCCTGATGATCTGAGCTCAGCAGTGAAAGGAAAAACTGATTCCCAAAGGTTGGTCCCTCCTGCCTCCTTGTGCAAGCCCTGGCATGCATGAACTTACACTCACAAAAACATTTGCAAGTCTGTGCTGTTGTTTTTAACTTTTCTGAGAGACCTGTGACTTTTAGATTTGATCATGAATCTGAGAAGTATTGGCAGGTATGTCTGTTGGGACAACACCCAAATATACACAGGAACGTTCTGAATGTTACTGACAATCTAATATCAAACAGGTTGGCAGAACTAGCAAAACCTCAGACAACAATGACAAAGCGTGTTTTTATATTTATATCTTATATTCAGTATTTGAGATATGTACCCGCTGAAGTTGAGAACCTGTCTAAAATCCAGGCTTCACTGAACATCTTGTGTCTTTTTCCAGGGTTGGGAGTTCAAAGCAGGGTTTCTCAGTACAGCCTTGGCTATCCTGAAACTCACTTTGTAGATCATGCTGGTCTCAAACTCACAGAGATCTGCCTGCCTCTGCCTCTTTGCCGCTCTGCTTCTCTCTCGGCTTCTCTCTCTGCTTCTCTATCAACCTCTCTCTCTCTCTGCTTCTGCCTCCACCTCTGCCTTCGCCTCCCAAGTTCTGGGATTAGAGGCACGAACCACCACCTTCTGGCCCCATCTTGTATCCCTCCCAGAAGTGAAGAGATGGCTGAACCTCTTTCCTGCACTGCGCAGCAGCCCATCCGTTGATTAGCACTTCTTCTCCAAGCCAACTCTTTGTTAATTGTGTGAATCTAATGACAGTCGAATCTCATTGATTCAGCTTCACTGATTTAGAGTTTTGATTACTTATGCAAAAGCTATGTGAAAGTATACTTTATTCCATTCATGAATTTAATAAGCCTATTTGTCATTGATAACGCAAACAAAGGGGAAAGAGAACTATTTATCTCCTTGGGAGACCACAAATAGTGTAATTACCATGAAGCGAGACGCTGTCACAGTTCAGGCTGTGCGTTTCGCTTAATAATTACAAATCGTTCCCAATCATAAGACAAGATGTCACTAGACAGAGTCAGGGACAGGTTGCCCAAACCCTGTGCCTCGCTTTGCATTCTACCTTCCCCGGAACATGGTGTGTGCTTATCTTACCTAGCTAAGTACATGATGTGTGCTTGGCCTACTTAACCCAGTACACAGTGTATGCTTGTTCCAGTGTAAAGAGATGCGTTTATCCTCCTTACCCTGTAAGTACTGTGTGCTGTCCTGCATGGCCTCTTGAGCAGTGTGTGCTTGCTCGGTCTTGTTCTTGTGCTGGACTTATTCTGTGCACCATACAGGCTAGAGCCCCACACAATGCTCACGACATAGAGTGCATACCTTAAAATGCTTATTAGTGAAATCTGGGACAAAAAGCCAGGTGTTAAACCGTCTTTGTTTCTGAATAGCTAGTATTTATCTTTTTGGTCTTTAAATTACATTTGTTTATTGTGTGTACATATGTTATGGGTAGGGAGGTGGAGGCCTGCGTGTGGACATCGGAGTACAGCTTGCCTCTGTTGGTCCCCTCCTTCCGGGGTGTGTATCCAGGGAATCGAACTCAGATCCTCAGATTTAGCAGCAAGTGCCTTTACCCTCTGAGCTGCAGTGTTAATGCTCACATTTAAGATTTTAAAAATGGTTTGCGCTGCCCTTCCGTTTATTCCAAATGGTATTTTTGGTAAACTTCCTTCCATTGCATAAGGATATTGGACAGAAAATGTATTTCTGAACTTCCAAATGTGTTTTCTGAGGACAGCGGTAGAAGGGTGGTAAAATCACTTTGAGTGTGCTGTGAGGTTTCTTCTGGTCCAGCCGCGGATCTCAGGCTTTCACAGGCTGCTAACGGGCTGAGCAGGGCTGAGCCTGCAATCTCCCTCCTTTATGTCCATGATCCTTTATGTCCATGATCGGGCACATGAGCACATGTGTACAGTTGAGTGTCACACGCATGACTCCATGAACGGCATATACCACAAAAGCCCTGCAAAATTAGCGTGTAACCTAGGTGTGGACCCAGCTATAGCATCTAGAATTGTGTGTGCATACTTGTGTTGTTCACACAGTGACAAAATCATCTAATAGCACATTTTCAAGAGCCTGTCCCTGTCACTGAAGGATACACGACCGTACAACACAAAAATAAGGCCTCGTCTGTCTTCCAAAGGTATCAAAGGAGAGTCTGTTGATTGGATGCCAGTTACCATTGCTACTGTAGAATGAAATATTAGTGACTTGAAAGTAACATGGACATTTGCACAAGCTACCCCACACTTGTGCGATTGGAGAGCTCCGTATGCCAGCCATCTAAGAACTGCACAAGAAACAAATTCCCCACTGTTAGGTAGAGTGTAACAGTGGGAATGCTGGTGCCCCAGGGTAAGCTGGGCATCTGCCTGGCCATGGAGACACAGGCAGCTGAGACTTGTTCTCAGCCCAACATGGGTTTTTTTTCTTCTCTCTTTCCTTTAAGCAAAGAAAAAAAAAAGATTCACAGGAATCAGGAAATTATGGGTCAAAGCTTGCTCAAGCCCAGGGCCTTGGGCATGCTGGGTAAATGCTCTACCAACAAGCTGACGTTACCAACCAACCACTTATCACCTCTGCCTTTTCCCAAGCCATCCATCCATGGGCATTCCAGATGTTGTCTTGGATACATGAAAACAGAGCTGGGCATGTGGACCCTTGGACCTGATTCTTTATTTTAAGATGGCTCAGTGGGTAAAGGTGTCTACCTCCAAGCCTGGCAACCTGAGTTTGATCCCTGTAACCCACACAGTGGAAAGAAGGAACCAACAACCGCGAGATACCCTCTACCACCGCATGTATGAGAGAGAGAGGGAGAGAGAGAGAGAGAGAGAGAGAGAGAGAGAGAGAGAGAGCTGTAGTGCTGTGTAATCTGACTGTTTCTGTTCTCCCTTGCTTCACAGTACCCTGGAGGGATATTACGTGGATGACGCCCTGCAGGGCCAGGGTGTATACACCTATGAGGATGGAGGTGTTCTCCAAGGCACATATGTGGATGGTGAGCTGAACGGACCAGCCCAGGAGTATGACACCGACGGAAGGCTCATCTTCAAGGGACAATACAAAGACAACATTCGACATGGAGTGTGCTGGATCCATTACCCGGTAAGCTGGCGCCTGTACCTCTGAGAGAAAGGAGCTCGTTTTAAGACAATGTTTTGACTCCTCGTGATAAACAGTACAATGTATCTGCTGTGAAGTCACGGATCAGCCGCTATTGACTAGAGTGTCTGAGGCCCACCTGCCTGCTGTTGCTCGCTATGACTTTGATGATTAGGCTTGAGGTTGCTATTAATTATTCTTCTGAGTCATACTGAGTAGTCCTGAGTGTTTACTCAGCACTGAAACAAACTAGTTTTATTGTACCATTTCTAAAATAAAAAAAAATAATAAGTTGCTTTTAAATCCTTTGGCATGTAGAAAGAAGTGGTGGGGGTTATTTCATCATTGAAATACATACGAGGGATGGCTGGGTGTGGTGACATGCCTTTAGTCCCAGAACATAGTGAGATCCAGGACAGTCAGGAGTATGTAGAGAGACCTTGTGTCAAAAAAAGAGGGGGAGAATAAATTCATATGGGGGAGAGACAAGGTTTCGCTGTGTAATCTGGCTGGCCTCAAATGCTCTCTGTAGACCAGATTGTCCTCAAACTCATAGAGATCCTCCTGCCTCTGCCTCCAAGCGTTGATATTAAAGGCGTGTGCCATCTTGCCCAGTTGTTGCTTAGTTTTATACGTGAGACTGAATCCTTTTTGGAGTCTCTACACCATTGCAGCTTTGTTTTTACAGCCCTCTCGCTATGACGATGCGTCATGAACTGCACTGCCTACATTAAGATGATTTAACTTAACTTGCCTTTAAGTGTTTGGTAACTGTGCTGATTTTTGAGTGAACTACAGCAAACAGACATGGCAAAGCCCATGATTTGGAATTAATAACTTTTGTTTGCATTTCAAATATCCCATCTGTTGTTGATGAGTTTGAAAACCATGTTTTGAAAAACAGACCGTAAGATATACTTTGTTTACTATTTATCATGCCCAGAAGCTTAACTGAAAATACCTTTCTACTGACTCTGAGTTATTAGCAAGAGCAGGCCAGACAGAGCCATGCTTGCCTGGAATCCCGGCATTTAGGAATGGAGGCAAGGGGATCAGACGTTCAAGGTCAGCCTCAATGATAGACAGAGTTTGAGGTCTGCCTGGGCTACATAGTAAAACTTTGTCCCACAAAAAGCACATTATTACATGTAAACCAAGAAAAGAGGTCCTCAGTGAATGCACTTACACGTTGTTATATTTATTTATGCGTTGTTTGTGTGTGCATGACGTGTGGGGATGCATGTGTCATGCATATATATGGCAGCCATGTGAGGGCAATCTGTAGAACCCATTCTTGTTTCCCACCTTCACATAGGTCCCAGGGCTCGAGCTCAGGGCTGTGCAGCACCTTCACCCCACCCCGTCCCCCTTCCTGAGTCATCTCACTAGCTAACATTACTATTCTTTTTAAAAAAACAGCATACACGGTATTTATACTTTTACTTTATTGTTTTAAGATTCTTTTACTTATTTTACCTATTTGAGTGCTCTACCTGGATGCATGACTTAATGCCAGAAGAGGGCATCAGATCCCTAGATGGTTGTGAGCCACCATTTGGGTGCTGGGAATCGAACTCAAGTCCTCTGGAAGAGCAGCCAATGCATTTAACTGCTGAGTCATCTCTCCAGCCCCACATTCTTCTTCTTTTGGGGAGAGGGGTTATAGAGTTTATTTAGTGGGTTATGGAAGGGAAGGGGGAGAGGGAGAGGAAATGAGGAGAGAGAGAGAGAGAGAGAGAGAGAGAGAGAGAGGCAGCAGCCCCCTCTTCAGAAGAGAGACGGGAAGAGCCACATTATTATTCTTTAGAAACTATTTAAGTGTCTGAAAAGATGGCTCATCAGATAAGAGCACTTGCTATGAGTATGAGGACCTGAGTTCAAATCCTCAGAAACCAAGTAAAAAGCCTGGCTTGGTCACATATGCCCTTCCAATGCTCTCACTGAGGATCTCTGGGGCTGGCACACCCCCAAGTTCAGTGAGACCCTGCCTCAAGGGAATAAGGCAGACAGAACAGGATATCCAACATCGTCTAAGTACAATTGTTGCTGCTGCTGTTGTTTTATTTTTTGAGACAGGGTTTTTCTACATAGTTCTGCCTGTCCTGGAGCTCAGTGCATAGGCCAGTCTGGCCCCTGTCTTCCTAGTGCTGTGATTAAAGGCACACACAATGGTGCCCATCCAGTTAATTGTGTTTTTAATCCGTTGAACTTGACATTGTTTATGCACCTGTGGTCCCAGCTGCTAGGGGAGCCTGAGACAGAAGGGTTTAAGCCTTGAAGTTTGAAGCTGGGGAGATGGCTCAGCAGTTAGGAGCTGCTGCTGTTTTATCATGAGGACTGGAGACCCAATACATCTCTCTCTCTCTCTCTCTCTCTCTCTCTCTCTCTCTCTCTCTCTCTCACACACACACACACACACACACACACACCATACATACACACACAAAGAATTTTAAAAAGAAACTGTGTTCTAAGGGACGAATGTGGTTGATCTCTGTCTAAGACTTGCACAAACATTTAGGTCTCCATTTGATCGGCTCTGATCCATCAGACATCGTTTAGGGGACTCTCTGGGTAGAAGCAGACAATCAGGGGACAGGTGCCGAGGTATCTACAGTTCTAACACTGAGAGTGGGCTTGCTGCGTGGCCAGGCGGAGCTCCACGATGCTGGGGAGCTACTGACATTTGAGAGAGGCTTGTCAGGAGAACGAGTGGAGCCCTGTGTAGGCAGAGGATGGGAGAGACGAAACGGGAATTCCCAGCGACTCCCACTCCCTGTCCTTTCGCTCCTGACGAGGATCAACTGAAGCCCTGTGATGAGACCGAAGGTACACTGAGACCATTTCCTGCCTTCATCTCACCGAGTGGAGCCAAATTTTGAAACCCAGATGTACAATAACGGTTTTCAGAGGGTTTTTCGGGCTCCTGACAATTTCATAAACACGGATCCATCATATGCACCTCTAACTCAGCTTTCCAGTCCCCCCAGATGCCCCCAACATGTCAGTTCCCACCTTTATGTTCTTGTCTCGTTTTTTTTTTTTTTTTATAGTCCCCTGAGTACAATTTGTACTGCTGCAGGCACACGGGCGGGGGCCAGTCACTAGAGCGTGGACCACCCATCAGCCGCTATAGCAACATGCTATCCTGTGGTCTTATCAAATACCAAGGGAAGATTCTAGTGTGGGAAGGAAGCCTTGGGAAATGACTAGCTTCCAGAAGAGTCGATGGCACCTGCTTCAAGTGTGGTGTCTGATGACAGTGGAAAAGGAAGATTGCACCCCTCTGCTCTCTGGAGTCCGAATCAATACAGACACAGGCATTAGTGTCAGGGACTGAATTGCCGGTTTTCATTTGCAGTAACTTTGGATTGGAGGCATGGTGTGAACCCAAAGCCACAACAGGCTTCTCGGTCCCTTCTGCTGTGGAAGCACTGGGGGCTTCTCTTGAGGGACATGGGCCTTCCTGGGATTGACAGGGCAGTGCCTAGGACCCAGGGGAGGTTAAGTGAAAAGTGAGACTGGACACTCCAAGCACTCCTTTATCTTGTTAATCCCTACCCAACAGAGAATCGCAATGACTACTCCTTCGGACAGGGGTGCCAGTGGGCAGACCGAGGCCATGGCCTCCACCCAATGCTTTCTGATAGAGTAGTTGGGCAGTATTTGTAACACGGTGCGAACAAGAGAAGGGAAAACAGAACCATTCTCCTTAGTATACTTACAGGATCACTCTAGGAACTAGAGATACGAAAGTTTTGCTGTTGATGTTTTGGTTTTTGAGACAGTCTTCTGTAGCCCAGGCTGGCCTCAGAGTCTCTGTGTACCTGAGGATAACCCTGAACCTCTGATCTCCCTGCCTCTGCATCCTAAGTGCTAGGGTTACAGGTGCCACCACCACGTCCAGATTGTGCAGTGCTGAGATCCAAACCCAGGGCGCGGTGCATGCTAGCTGAGCTCTCTACCGAGAGACGTCACCTGCAGTCCCGCTAAGTAAGCCCTTTGGTTTGGTTTGATTTTTAACTTCCAATGCATCTTTTTTTTTTCAATTTAAAAGACTCATAACTCCTTTTGAAAACCAAAGGATTTCTATTTTGTCAGTCCAAAGAAATAAGTTCAGCTTTTGAGGGAAAAGGTGAGGCCCTACACACAGACTTTTGCTTCAAATAAGCAGTAATGTGGGCGTCTGTTAGCTATGGCGTGGAAGAGGCACACCTGCTCTAGTGCGCCGAGGCTCAGCAGCACCCCAAAGGCAGATCACACAGAAAGATCGCCCCTATTTACACCATGTTAGTAAGAATTGACTTCAGAAGGACGACGAGCAACAAATGTCACCCTGCTGTGCCTTCTGCCTGTGAAAAAATGATGCTGCGTGTTTTTCCTCAAAAGTTCTGAAATGTACTTGACTTGATCATTTCTCCCCATGGAAGAATGACAAGGCTGTGGTGAGCTGTGCAGCCGTGCATGTCACGTGCATGTCACGTGCATGCCACGCCGCTTATTCCTGTCTCAGGAGGCAGCACTGAGGGTCAACCTGCATCAAGCAGCCCTTCCCAGATACTTGAGCTGAGGACGTTAGCCAAGCTACCCGAGGTGCCATGCTATCAAATTGTTTAGCGAGCCTACAAAGGACGTAGATGGATAAGTTATGCAGTCCAGGCTTCCATGAGAGGGACCCATCTGTAACATGAAGGGCCTGCTTGTTTGTGTTTTCTGTCCCCGCCTGGCACCCCACAACCGGCAGGCCCCAGAGAAAATCAACCACACAGAGATTTCTATAAGTTATAAAGCTGATTGGCCCATTAGGTCAGGCTACTTATTAGCTAACTCTCACATCTTGATTAACCCATTATTCTGATCTATTTTAGCCATGTGGGGCAGCTCACATCCTGCTGCTTCGGTGATCTGGACAGGAGTGGGAGGAATCAACTTCCTCCTCCCCAGAATTCTCCTGCTCTCCTTGCATCATTTCCACTTCCTGTCTGGTTTCCCCACCTACACCTCCTGCCTGGCCAATCAGCGTTTATTTAAAACATGATTGACAGAATACGGACAATTCTCCCGCACCACCCATCCCTTGCATCCTAAGTGAAATTAACACTAATGCTGCAGTAGCCTAGTTCAACTGAAAAAGTGTCCGCGAGGTAGCTTTGTGGGTAAAGCTCCTGCCACTAAGCCTGGCAACATGATAGGTCCCTTGGGATCCACGTGGGAGAAGGAGAGAAACGACTTCTCTGCAAGTTGTCCTCTGACCTCTACACACGCACCATGTCACACGCTCACCCATGCAGTTACATGCACATATACAGGAGCACACACATACAACATTATATATATAGTTTGTTACCTGCTGTGACCCTGGCCCTTACCAGGACATAGAATTACTCTGGCACTAGTCCTATGGAATGAAGCAAAGCTGGCCCTTCTCCTGGCGGGAGGCTGGGGAGTCACAGATGAAGGATGGAAGAAAGAACTGATGTGGAAGAGACAAGGTCTTTTGCTTAGAAATACAGACAATTCTATTTTTGCTCGAGTAGAGCAAACTAATTCTTAAGTATGCTTAAAGGCATACGGATTTAGCTCAGAAGTAAAGACCTACAAGGTCCTGGGCTCTGTGTTCACCCCAGTACTGCAAAAAGGGGGGGAGTACATTTTAACTGAAGTTTGTTCGTCTGTTTGTTTGTTTGTTTGTTTTGAGGCTGCATCTCTTTATGTGTCCTGGCTGTCCTGGATAGATCAGGACATCCTCAAACTCACAGAGATCAGAGATCTGCCTGCCTCTGCCTCCCTAGTGTATAGGTGTGTGCTGTAATATATATTTATAATATTGTTACGCTGTAATATATTTGTGCCATAATATATTTCTCTTAACATATTACAGGTATGTGCTTAATTATATCTCCCTTAAATGTTTGCAAACCTGTTCTGAGTGTAATGTGTTTGTTTCTTAGATAACACACCAAGCGAGTGTGACCATAACTGAGTATGTCTCCTACTCTGAAGGAGGCATGCATGTCCCTGAGCATAGAACATTCCAGAAGTGTATCTACATGTGGCTGACAGGCTGTCTGCAGAGACATGAAGAGCTCTGATTCTTGTCAGAAGTTCTAGGTTCTAACCCTGTTATTGTCAGGGGCGGGGTTCTTAAGTTGGGGGCGGGTGCAGAAAAGAAACTTTCTGAACTCACACCCTACAGATGGACACTTTGTATAACACCTCTGGGCTTCGGTTTCTCCCACCAGGATGGGGGCAGCCTGGTCGGGGAAGTCAATGAAGATGGGGAGATGACTGGAGAGAAGATAGCCTATGTCTACCCTGATCAGAGGACTGCGCTCTACGGAAAGTTTATTGATGGAGAGATGATCGAAGGGAAACTGGCCACCCTCATGGCCACCGAAGAAGGAAGGCCACACTTTGAAGTGACATCTGGAAGTAAGTTGTCCAGTGGGTGGCAGGTTGAAGAAGTTGGTGGTAGTGGTGGTGGTTTGGGTTTTTTGTTTTGTTTGATTTGGTTTTGTGTAGCCCAGGCTGTCCTGGAACTCACTCTGTAGACCAGGCTGGCCTTGAACTCACAGAGACCCACCTGCCTCGCCTCCCGAATGCTGACATTTTACGGTGTGCGCCACTATCACCCTACAAAGAAGTTTCTTTTTTTCTCTGGGGACCCCACTTTAATGAGTGTCAGTCAGTTTTTCACACACACACACACACACACACACACACACACACACACAAAGAAAAAAAAAAGAAAAACAAACAGGCTTCTCGGTCCGTCCCTGTTTACCACAGCAGCCATAAGTCAGTCTGCTATGTCTCCAGGTTCGGCTGGTCTAGGCTGCTCTGTGTCTTAGGCTAGGACCTAGTCTGAAGGCATTGAGACCGCTTTAGGCAATGTTTTCTCACAGTGGATCACAGATGTATCAGAGCAAACAGATACAAGAGGTGCCTCCCAAAGCCTCACCCTGGAACTTTCCCCCACTTATGTTGCAAGTCATGTGAGAAAGCCCAGCGAGAAAGCCCAGTACACATGACAGAGAAAGCACAGCATGTACTTCAGAGGGACACGCTGAGAAATACCACAAGAAGGTGTCTACAGGTGACTCTAAGAAGGTGCAGGACTAAGAAATGGCGGGCAGTTCAACCAGCTTCAGATGACTGTGTCTCTAAAACACGGAGCCGTGGTTTTTGTGTTATTAAAGAATCAAATCAGGGGCTGTAGAGATGGCTCAGTGGTTAAGAGCATTGCCTGCTCTTCCAAAGGTCCTGAGTTCAATTCCCAGCAACCACATGGTGGCTCACAACCATCTGTAATGACGTCTGGTGCCCTCCTTTGGCCTGCAGACATACAGACAGAATATTGTATACATAATAAATAAATATTAAAAAAAAAGAATCAAATCAGGCAGACTTCAAGATCTGGATAAACTGTATAGCTGATTAAGCCAGAGATTCCTCTGTGGCTGTAGGAGTTTGCTTCAAAGGTTGATGATCTGGAGTTTAGACTCAGGGACCCACATAGCAAGTGAAGAGAGTCAACTCCTGAAAGCTGTGCTCTGACCTCACACATTCATCAGAGAGAGAGAGAGCATGCATGTATGCGTAACAGGTGCAGTTTGTACCGCATGTGTACAAATACACACACACACTAGGTAAATGTAAAACTCTTCTTAAAAGTTAGCATTAGAGGAAACAGTGGGAACCGTCTTTCTTCCTTTGTACTTTCCTGTGTACTTACAGTTATTCCTAGAGAGATAGCTTCGTCGATAAAACGCTTGCCACCTCAGCTTAAAGACCAGAGTTCAGTCTCTAGAACCTGTGCACAAAAGCCACATGGCACTGGAGAGGTGCACACAGACAGACCCCTGGAGCTTGGTGGCCAGCTCCAGGCTGAGAGACCCTGTCCCAAAAAAACAAGGTGGCCGACCTGTGGTGGTGCACGCCTTCAATCCCACTTGAGAGGCAGAGGCAGACAGCTCTCAGAGTTTGAGGCCAGCCTAACCTACAGAGAGAGAGAGAGAGAGAGAGAGAGAGAGAGAGAGAGAGATAGGATGGCTATGGCTACACAGAGAAACCCTGTCTCAAAATAAAATAAAAATAAATAAACAACCAAAATGAATGGAACCTGGGGAGAAAACCCTCAAGGTAATCCTCACTCACAATATCACTGACTTTCATACCAACACACAGATACACCTCCACACGTGTATAAATTAATTCATGTAAGCCCAAAATGAAGTTCTCTTTTTTTAAAAAAAAAATTAAATCTAAAATAAAACCCTTGCTGTTCTCTGTGATCTCTATGAGTTCGAGGCCTGGTCTACAGGATGAGTTCCAGGACAGTCAAAGCTACACATAGAAACATCCTGTCTCAAAAAAAAAAAAAGAAAGAAAGAGAGAAAAAAGAAAGAAAGACAAGAACAGAAGAAAGAAAAGAATCCCTCGCAGGTGCACCTAGCCACGTGGGTTTTGGCTAATTCCAGATGTAGGCTAGTTGACAACCAAGAGAAGCCATCACACTATCCCTGTACTCCTCTGCCTGCTCCTGGTACAGGCAGCTGTTCCTTTCCCCAGGCTTCTGAGTTTGTTTAAGTTTTTTTAAGCCCTGGAGAGGCTGCTGGCCGCAGATGCAATCTGGAGCCCAGGAAGAAGGCGCCACCCACTGCACTCCCATCCCCAGCTTAGTAGGTCAGAGGCTTCCTGCTCTTGCCACTTCTCGATTCCTCCTGGCTCTCCGCTTGGCTTCGCAACTCTTCCGTCTCCTCTATAACCAAGTTTCTCCACTGAATTTTCTCCTTTTAAAATACTGAAATGGTCTATTTCCTAGGCAGTGGCAGGCTTATTTGGACCATTTTCTAACTTAGGTTTGAGGCATCCGTTTAGGTTTCTGCTGTATTTGAAAAGGCAGAAAGGGGGCCTGGTAACCATGGTGACTACTGAAGAGCCAATTGATGGATTGTTAGGGATGCTGGTGGGGAATGACTGACCGTGCAAGAGTTCACTTTCTGGCTCCAGATCTTGTTTCCTTGTTCATGAACACTCAGAGAACCCTCCATCCCTTGTGCCCTGTGAGGACCCACCAAGGTCACCAGACAGCAATTCTAGGACTGTCGCCTACCCTGTCTTCAGGACTGATTACTGACCAAATTCTGAGCCGCCAGGATGGAAGCCCAAGGACTCTTAAGGCGGCATGGAGAGCAACATTGTCTCCATAATTCTGTGAGGCTGAATTTACTCTCAGGGAAGGAGCCAACTGCTGGGCTCTGCTGTACATTTTACAGACTGTCTGGGATGAAGAAATCCTCAAAGAAATTTAAAAACCAATATCCAGTTTGCTCCGACCAGAGAAATCTGAACATTCTGCTACAACATGTTTTGCTTAAAGTTTTAACTACAGAAACAGACTTTTAAGAAATTTGAATAAAGGAAAAATCAGCAAACAGGAATCTTAAGAATTAAATCTGAGAGATGGCTCAGAGGTTAAGAGCACTGGCTGTTCTTCCAGAGGTCCTGAGTTCAACTCCCAGCAACCACATGGTGGCTCACAATCATCTATAATGAGATCTGGTGCCTTCTTCTGGTGTGCAGGCATACATGCAGGCATAATAAATAAATCTGAAAAAAAAAAGAAGAAAGTTTTATTAAGAAAGGAAGGAAGGAAGGAAGGAAAAAAATAATTAAATCTGGTGGCTATACATGAACACTTAACTAGCAAGGCCTGATAAGTGTGGGCCTGTAATCCCTGCCTCAGAAGCTTGAGGCAAGGGGATCTCAAGCACAAAACCAGGCCAAGCAACTTGATAAGATCCTATCTCACCAAGGATAAGGAAAAAAAGGGCAGGATTTGAGAACACCATCAAAGACGAAAGCTGGCAAATGCCGTTTTAGCTACTCTGGCTGGTAGAACCAGAGTGGCACCTGTGCTTGTTTGGTTCATCGTCACTGGGGAGCCACCTCTGCATATCCTCCCGGGCTCTGCACCTCACCTGACGTGCTGGTTTGCCTTTCAGGTTCCGTGTACCACTTTGATAAATCGACTTCCTCCTGCATCTCCAGTGATGCCCTCCTTCCAGACCCTTATGAGTCCGAGAGGTAACTCTTTCCTTGTGGCTTTCATCGCGCCGTTTATGCCCCGGTGGTGGGCACCCTTAAGCTTCTGTGGCTCGCGGCTCAGGCTGGGCTCCTGCTCAAGCCAAGCAAGCCCCTCCATAATGAGTACTTTTCCTTGGCACACTTCCAAGTAAGTATGTGTGTGTTCTGAGGAAGACTAATGATATTCTTATATTAAGGCTGTTCACAGAAGGTCTCTACTCTCTCAAGCAGGTTCATGTCTCATTCTAGAATGAACTCTCTCAGTAAAGTGTTGATTCAGACGGTCACACCCTTTCTGGGAGTCTGGGGATTGGGGAAGCATACATGAAGAAACCAGAGAACAGCTTTAGAGATCAGTTCTTTCCTTCCGCCCTCTGGAAAGGCGCAGCCTTAGGTCAGGCTCGGAAGCGGGTGTTTTTTTGCCCAGTGATCCATCTTCCAGGCGCTATCGGGGTTCTTGATGATGCAGTCCTCTAGGGGAGCAATCCACGCTCTTTCAAGCGTAGCCTACACCTCCGGTACGACCCTTGGAACATAAAGCAACTTAAGGGAAGACAGGATAGAAGCAATGGCAGTAATAGCAAGCATAAAAGCATCCCTCCATGTCAGGTCTGTTCATTCCATACCTAACCTATGAGGAAGACTGCCCTCTACCGTGGATTCTCAATACCCAAAATTCTCTTTATTGTCCTCAGCTGGTCTGCTGAGGAAGTAAGGACAGCCCTCGGGGCGTGGCTTACCCTCGACTGGTCTGCTGAGGAAGTAAGGACAGCCCCCGGGGCGTGGCTTACCCTCGGCTGGTCTGCTGAGGAAGTAAGGACAGCCCCTGAGGGTGTGACTTACCTCTTGTTTACTTTCTGCTCCAGTCAGAGAAGCAAGCCTCTTCCTGGTAGAAGTGACCGCGCTGATCCCACAGTGCCACAGGCAGGGAGAAAATGTTCTGGTTTTTTGACAAGAGATCCTAGCCCAGGGCCAGTGGTAGCAGACTGGCTTCTGTGTTCACCCCAAAACACCAGGACCAACTGTATCCATCTATTAGTCTAGTCTGTGGTGAGATCCTGCAGAACAATACTCTCCAACCGCTTAGCTGTTTACAGAGGTCGGCATTCTGTATTATACCCATGGTTCTGTGGGTTGGCTTAGGTTCAACCATTTTTTGCTTGGGCTTCACCAGGCTCAGCCGGACTAGGCTGGGCTCCAGGATTCAAGTCGGGTTCAGGTCTGTTTCACATCTCTTCATTCCAAGACTCTGACTAAAGGAACAACAGCCCCCCAGGATATATTCTTTTCTGGGAGACCATGAAAACTGAAAGAGACTGGCAAAACTCACCGTGTCTCTTAACACCTGACACCCGGCAGCAGGGGCCCTCCTCCACACTCTGCTGTCAAGGTCAGCAGGATGGGATGCATGCCCCATCTGCACCAAACGAAGTGTCACATCGTGAGGTCACCTGGCAAAAGGGTGACATGTATCATTCTGCCACAGGAAAGGAGCAGAACTGGAAGCAATAATTCAGATTTCCAGGCCATAAAATAAGCCAAAATTACAGGCGCTCACCTCCTAACAGGGCCATCTATCACAGTGCACGGAGAAATGGGAAAATGAAAGATTTGTTGGTAGGACATAGCTCTTACTCCCTCTGTTCCACAGCCAAGAGTGCTTCTCTTATAAAGTAGTGTTTAGGAGTGGTTTTCCGTGAAAGAACACCAAGTAACAATGTGGACGCTTGCAGGCCCTGTGTGGTCTATTGCACAGCATCAGCTCCACCTCTGAGCACTGCAGCAGCCAGACACCGTCTTAAACTGGGGAAAGCAGCCGTATCTCAATAAAACTTTATCAACAAAAATGAACTGTCAGATTTGACCTGGAGTTAGCTTACCCCTTTGTTGGGAAATGCTTGTTGGATATAGCTCATTGTCACTTTTTGTGTAAACACCCCATCTTGGCATTTAACTAAATAATAGTCTTCCTCTGTGTTCTGGCTTTGAGAAATTTGAGCACAATGTTAGTAAACTTTGGGAAATGTTCTCTTGTCATTAGCTATAAACATTAGTTTCTTTTTCAGAAAGGTCTATCAAGTACTGTGCTGGCTGGTTTGTGTGTCAACTTGACACAAGCTAGAACCTTCAGAAAGGAAGGGCATGCTCCCATGAGATCCAGCTATAAGATCCCTGGAACTGACGTTACAAATGGTTGTGAGATGCCATGTGGGTGCTGGGAATCAAACCCAAATCCTGTGGAAGAGTCCCCATCTCCAGTCCTGAAGAAGACATCATTTGAGGCCTGGGGGTGTAGCTCGGTCGGTAGAATGTATGCCTAGCGTTCACAAAGCCCTGGGTTTGATCTCCAACACCACATAAACTTGGGCACTTAGGAGATGGAAGCAGGAGGATTAGAAGTCCCTAGTTATTACTAAGTGGTTGTCACCAGGACCAGTGGCTCACACCTTTAATCCCAACACTTGGGAGACAGAAGCAGGAGGCAGATGCTGTGAGTTTGAGGTCAATCTGGTCTATATATGAAGGGGCAAGGTCGATCGGTAATTAATGATCCACCAGACTAGCTTAATACAAAAGATACTTTAATAAACAGAAGGAAAACTTACACCAGAATCCCAACGGTCCGTCCGGAACGTAGGAGCCAAGCGAGAGAGCAAGGGGAAGTGCATCCGCCAGGTATATAGGTAAATTTTTGCCTTAGGGCAACACGCCCCACAGACAGAATGTGATTGGCTGAACTCCCCTATCATATATAGAGAGTTCCAGAACAGCCAGGGCTACACAGAGAAACTCTATTTTGGGAGGGAAAAAAGATGAAGAAGTTCCTGCTTGTCACTGGCCAGAGCAAGTCTGAGGGAGGTGGGTGGAGTTCATTTTGAATACAACTCTTAAAGAGATGAAAGATATTTCCTCCATTACTGCTGCTAACTTAGTGTGGTTTAATTTCTCACCCTGTCTCCTTTGTTGAATAATCGGAAACTGTCATTTGGGATTCGTATGGTTCTCATATTCATATGGATAACCATAATGGAGTTTCAGTGATTGGTATCAAGAGTGGCACATCACACTGAAAACCTCACAGTTTTATTTGTTGTTTGTTTAGGGTTTATGTTGCTGACTCTCTCATCTCCAGTGCCGGAGAAGGACTGTTTTCCAAGGTAGCAGTGGGACCCAATACTGTTATGTCTTTTTATAATGGCGTCCGAATTACACACCAAGAGGTGAGTGGGAAGATGTGAACATCAACCTAATTGATGAAAGGGCTTCAGTAAATCCACTGTCATGGTTCACAACAATCTGATAGAAAGCGGAATGGTGGGGCCAGAGAGATGGCTCGGAGGTTAAGAACGCTGAGGTCCTGAGTTCAATCACCAGCACCACACAGTGGCTCACAACCATCTATACTGACATCTGGTGCCCTCTTCTGGTGTGCAGACTGAACACTGTATACATAAGAAATAAGTAAATAAATAAATCCTTTTTTTAAAAAAAAAGGAAAGGAAGGAAGAAAGAGAGAGGGGGGAGGGAGGGAGGAAGAAGGGAGGGAAGGAAGGAAAGAAGGAAGGAAGGAAGGAAGAAGGGAGGGAAGGAAGGAATGGAGAAGGAAGGAAGAAGGGAGGGAAGGAAGGAAGGAGGAAGGAAGGAAGAAGGGAAGGAAGGAAGGAGGAAGAAGGAAGGAAGGAGGAGGGAAGGAAGGAAGGAAGGAAGAAGGGAGGGAAGGAAGGAAGGAAGGAGGAAAGAAGGAAGGAAGAAGGAAGGAAGCCGGGTGATACTACAGCTGCAGATTTCCTCTAGACCACACCCAATGCCTTTTTTTTTTTTTTTTTTAGGAAAGTTCCCTATTTTTTGTTAACGCAATGACAGGCTCTGTTTTGCTAGAAAGTGTTTTAGTGAAAAAAAGAAAGCAATCCAAACTCAAAAGCTAAAAGTTTAACAAGGCAGAATATGGCAGTGGATGCCTGTAATCTTAGCACTGGGGATGGCAAAGCATGAGGAGCGAATGAGCCAAGTGTCCTTGACTACTGCACAGCAGTGTCCCCATTGCACAGAAGTGTGACCATTGCACAGCAGTGTCCCCATTGCACAGCAGTGTCCCCATTGGCGCCTCAACACCTGAAAATGAGTTCTTTTCAATCCGCCCATCATCTGTTCTCAGAATCATGAAGGTGTGCCAGGTAAAGTGCGCACCCATAAACCAAGCATTTATGAGGCTGAGGCAGGAGAATTGTGAATCCCAGGCAAGCCTGGGCTGTATTGATGAAGGGCCTATCTAAGAGAGAGAGAGAGAGAGAGAGAGAGAGAGAGAGAGAGAGAGAGAGAGAAGGATTTGAGGAGATACTGTAGGCATTAAAGTAAGAGATGAAAAGGTACCAGGAGAGGCAAGAGTATACAGAGAAGCTCTGTTTCAAAAAAGAAAAAACAACAACAACCAAAAAAAAGAATGAAAGGAAGGAGGGAAAACAAAGAAGCAAACAACTGACGTTGTCCTCTGGCCTCCCACACATATTTATGACACACACACCACCTCTTGCCTTTAAGACCCAGTCTGGTATATTTTAGAACTCCGTAGATGGCCCTGGTTAAGTTTATTCGCCTTGTAGCTGACTCTTCAGGGTCTGTTTAGTCTGCAGCCTCCAGCACAATCCTTGAGCCCCCTCATGGTCGCTGACGCATGCACGGGGCTCAGGCTCGTGACTGTCATCTCGCGTTTGGGTCTCCACTTTGTCACTGATTCCTGGGGATAATAAGGGAGCGTTCCACAAAATGTTCCGATTAGTCACACATTCACAGCAACTGGGCAGGCAAAAGACAACAAAATAGAGTCAGGTGGAGCAGATGGCATCCACACAGGTGGCCATACTTCCCCAGCCCTCCAGAAAGCCCAAGACAGTCATCGGGGAAGGGTGACTTTGGGGTAAGGGTGTATTACGGGTGGAGCACCCCTTATCTGAAGTGCTTGGGACCAGAATGTTAGGAATCCAGGGTTTTTAAATATTTGCATCTTTATATTAGTGTTTCCTGTGTACAGAGTTGGGAGGCAGTTATATATTTTTTATATTTTTTTTATTGTGTCAGCATTTTGCCTGTGACCTGTCATGAAGTCAGGTGTGGCTTCTTCCAATTGTCTATCAGCCTCAAAAAGTTTTGAATTTGGAAGCAGTCTGGATTTTTAAATATTAAACCCATTCTTCATCCCTCAAACATCTTGTAGATGAGGAAATGGAAACCTAGAAAGGGGAAACTGTTTGCCCAAGGTCACAGATGCAGTGAGATGCAAGGCTAGCATCTCTGCTGTAATGACTCATGTCCCCTCGCACCCAGTGACGTTCAGGTCCTGCTAGCCACCTAACAGCAACGTAAAGCAACCAACACTCCACACAGCCGATCAGTGCTGTGTGGTTACATGATAGGTGGGGAATGATGAAATCCAAGGGGACCTTCTTCGTGATTGATACTGCTGCCTGTGGTGATACCTGGTTTATTGACTGAATGTCACATATAAATGTAACGTATAGGAGGAAGGGTTGGTTTATCTAGGAGAGGTGTCCGTCCTGTGATCCACGGGCTATGTGGAGCCAAGGATAACTTGTAAAAATAAAGGAAGACAAGGCTGTTGAATTTACTTAAAGTTAAGAGAGACTGAAACTTGATTGTTTGGCTCACAAACATGAACTGTGGATGGTGTTTGTGTTGCAGTGACATTTGTGTTGGACATGCCTGCTAGATTTATAATTTCTATGAAAGCATAATCCTTTTTATAAGGGCCATTAGGCTATTCTGCTCACCTCTCAATATCCAACCTGAAGGAGCCAAGTGGTTGTGCTATAGACAATGATGACCCCTGGATAGGTAGAAAAGCACACTGGCTTCAAAACGGTCTCCTGCTTACCCTGATTCCTCCACTGGAGCAGAGGTGTGGGCCTTTTATAGATACTTTTAAAATACATTAATGACTGGGTAGTGGTAGCACATGCCTTTAGTCCCAGCACTTAGGAGGCTGAGAGAGGTGAATCTCTAAGTTTAAGGCTAGCCTGGTCTACAGAATGATTTCCAGGACAGCCAGGGCTACAGGAATAGAGAAAGAAAAAAAAAACATTTATTTGGAGGATCATGTGCTATCGTTCAAGTGAGCAACTTCCAGGAGAAGGTTCTCTCCTCTGGCCATGTGGATTCTGGGAGCGGAACACTTGGGCAGTCAGTCTCGGAAGTCAGTGTCTGGACCACTGAGCCATCTCAACAGCCTCTTCTTCGTTTATTTTGAGTTCAAGTTTACCTGATATTTTTCGTGTGTCTTTGGAAAGAGCCAAAAAGCCTTTTCCTCTATATAAAACGAGGGAGATACAATAAACAATAAGCTGAGCTGTCTGGATGCTCTATCCTTGTGTGGGAAGATGTCTTGGCCAGCGCTCGTGTCTGCAGTTCTGGAACTATGAAGCGTTAGGATAAATGAGTTAGTGCCTCTGTGATGCTCTGAGCTCTTGTGCGAAAGGCCCTCTCCAGCACCGCTTCCCTGTGTCTTGCAGGTGGACAGCAGGGACTGGGCCCTAAATGGGAACACTCTCTCCCTTGACGAGGAAACAGTCATTGATGTGCCCGAGCCCTATAACCACGTATCCAAGTACTGTGCCTCCTTGGGACACAAGGCGAATCACTCCTTCACGCCAAACTGCATCTATGACATGTAAGTAGGATGCTAGTGGCTGGATGGACCCATGCCTGGGGACCCATGCATGGGAAAGGCAGGCCCTTTGCCATGAGCCTCAGCCTTGTGGTTTAAGGTTCAGGATCTAAACCGCCCTGCTTTCTAGCCGTGCGATGAAAACGCGATTTCAAAAGAACTCTCATAGAGATATGGTGGCTGCTTTATTGTGTCCTTATTTGCACTTGGATTTTTTTTCCTCATTTAAAGATCGAATTACAGAACCAGGGAGGGGAGGAGCAGTTAAGTCATCCAAGGGCTTCATGAAGATTTGAGTTCGGTCCCCACTCGACACCTATATAAAAAGCTGAGGGTGGGGGAAGGCGCTCAATAACCCGAGCACTGAGGAGGCAGAAGCAGGGTGATTCCCTGGGCTCACTGACCAGCCAGCCTAATCAGAACGTTCCAGGCCAGTGAGAAACCCAGTAATCCAGTACTCAAAACAAGGTGGATGGTGTTTGAGGACCACACCCAAAATTGTATTTTGGCTTACACACACACACACACATACACACACAGTGTGTGCACACAGGTACAGACATAACACATGTGCACACAGATAATGGGAACGGCAGTGCAGCTCAGCCATAGATCGTACCCTTCCCTGCTTGGCGCTGTAGCTACTGCCCTCTGCCCTCCGCTGTGCGAGACCACGCTCCGAACATTTCATCTTGCCAGGATCTGGAGCTCGCTGCTCCTGAGACTCGCCCTTGAGATGCCATGGAAATCATCCCGGCAGTGACTAGCCGGGTGACTTGGAGTCCTGGTGCTCCAGCTGCTTCTCAATGGCTGGCTGAAAGGGCAAAGGACGTGTGTCATGTGGAATGAAACGCACGCTCTTATTAGCTGCGGGGCCTCCACGGCTAGTGTGAATTTGGCTAAAGCTCATTCCCAGCTGTGCCAGCCTAACAATGGCTGCTTAAAATCACAGCAACTAACCATCCTAAAGGCCACTCAGACCCCTCATGTGAATCGAGCCTGTCTGACTTCACTACAGAGACAGCCTTTTTTCCCCAAGCGCAATAGAGAACTGGAAACAAGAGAAGCTTCTGTTTGTGCAAAATCAGTCTCTGCTCAGCAGGTTTTATTTTGGGTTTTTCAGTTTGTTGTCTTTGGTGGTGGTGGTGGTAGTAGGTTTTTTGTTTGCTTGCTTGCTTGCTTGAGGTGGGGAGAGTCAAAACAGGGTTTCTCTGTGTTGCCCTGGCTGTCCTGGAACTCACTTTGTAGACCAGGTTGGCCTCGAGCTCCTAGATTCTGCCTCCTGGGTGCTGGAATTAAAGGCACGTGCCTCCACTGCCCGGCTGTTTTCTTTATTGTGTTGTTGTTATTTGTTTTGCAAGCCCAACATGGCCAAAACTCAGTTACATGGGGTAATGACCGCTTGAATACTAACCAAATGCAAACTTCAGATTCCAATTCCTGGCGTTTGTGTTTCCTCAAGCCACTGGCATTAATGCATACATTAATGGAAGTGAAACAGCACTTCTCTATGCTCCTTTCACTGACATCTGGCACACAATGCCCAGTGGGCAATCACACAAGTGCTCTGCTACCTGTAAATACGGTAATGTGTCAACTAGGGTCCAGAACCATTGGGCCCAGAGCTTTGGATCCAGAGCTACTTCTACAGGCATAGACTCGGAACATTCATTCTGGTTCCCTCTCTTTCTCCCCTCATTCCGTGCTTCTCTTCTCCCTTCTTCGTGTGAGAGATTGAACCTAGGAGCTCACACATACCAAGCTCATGGTACGGGTAGGGTATGCCCATATACCCTAGCCCTACTCTGGATGCTTCGCATGTTTTACCTCATTCGTTCCTCCCGGGAACTCCCAGTCAGCTAGGTCTCAGATCTGGAGGCAGAGTGACCCAGTGCAGTGTGTGCCCAGGCTTGCCCTGGCCAAGCCTTAACACCTGAGACCAAGTCTTCCTTTATCTTCTATCTATTCAGACTCATGATACTCTGTGTGTGTGGTGATACCCACCTATGACCCCAGCTCCTCGAAGTCTGAGACGGGGAAGACTGAGTTTCTTAATCCCAGCCCTGGAAGACAGCAGCAGGCGAACCTCGAGTTCGAGGCCAGCCTGGTCGACAAAGTCAGTTCAAGGACAACCAGGACTACACAAAGAAACACTGTCTAGGAATAATTAATTCATTCATTAATTAAAAATAACAACAAAAAACACATCAAAGTACAAAGATGGCAATGATCATATAAACAGGAGAATAAAGCCACAAGAACATTGGAAAAGAAGCCCTGGGCCCAAAAGTTCCATATCAGATTCCCCTCCCCCACCCCCAGTGGATCTTCTAGGAAGTTAATCAGAACTCCACATCAGGAGCATTATTTAATTTTCATACCAAAATCATATGATAAAAATTATAATGAAGCATGTCAACTTAAAGACAAAATTGCCTGGCATGGTAGCTCAGGTCTTAATCTTAGCCCTCAGGAGGCAGAGGCAAGTGGAGCTTTCTGAGTTCAAAGCTAGTCTGGTCTACCAGTGCTACACAGTCATACACTTTTGTCTTAGTTAGGGTTTTTTATTGCTGTGAGAGACACCATGACAATGGCAACTCTTACAATGGAAAACATTTGATTGGGGCTAGTTTATTGTCCAGAGGGTGAGTTCATTGTCATCCGGGCAGGAAGCATGGCAACATGCAAGTAGAAATGGTGCTGGAGAGGTAGCTGGGAGTTCTACATCCGGATCCACAGGCAGCAGGAAGAGTGACACCAGGCCTGGTTTGGACTTCTGAAACTCCAAAGCCTGCCCCCAGCGATACACTTTCTCCAACAAGGCCACACCTTCCAATAATGCCACTCCCTGTGAGCCTATGGGGGCCATTTTCATTCAAACTACCATACCTGTTTATAGATAGACAGCAGACAGGTAGATACAAACATATATATATACATACATGTATACACGCATGCATACATGTATACATACATATGTGTATACATACATACATGTATACAGAATTGTGATCTTAAGCCAGGACTTTGTATGTGCCAAGCAAGGACTCTACCATTAGCTATGTCCTCAGCCAAAAGCCACAATAATAAAAAAAAATTCCTGAATCCATGGTCTAGACATCTTTGTGAAGGAGCTCAATCTGAATGCTTTGTGCACACATGCTCACATATATACTCATATGAATGCCACACACGGCTTATACAGGATCATCCACATAATCCACGTACATACATGCTCACACTCCTGTATACATATTCACACATGGACACATTCATATGCTTAGTAGAGTTTCATTTTGTACCAGGCACTGTGTAAGGGGCTTGCTACATGTGACCCCATTTTCTCACCACAGAGACCATCTAGGGTAAGTCTTACTAGTATTGTCATGATTTTACAGATCAGGAAAGTGACATTCAGGAAAACAGGAACATAATGGAACACAGTGATACACACGGAACCAGAACTTAGAGCCAGTCTCCTGACCGCAAGTTAGAGGCCCCTTTCATAAAGTTAGAGAGAGGCCTCCTTGGTGTCAAATAGGAGTTGTTACTTTTTATACCTCATGAAAGTTATTCCGAATCATATGCACAAGGCTGGGAATGTAAGCCCAGGGGGAGCGCTTGGCCCTTGGTTTTATCCCAGTGTTCTAGAAACACCGTCTTCCCATTTGATGTGCCCTCTGCCTTATGTTCATCAGGGACTCTAAATGTCTCGACAAGTAAAGGAATGTGTCACCAAGCCTGGAGACCTGAGTTGGATCCCCAGGGTCCATATGGTGGAAGGAAAGGATCAACTTCTACAAGTTGTCCTCTGACCACCCCGACATGTGCTGTGATGGCATGTCGTACACACACACACACACACACACACACACACACATGTTGTACACATACACACACACACACACACATACAAATACAATAAAAATTTAAAAAATACGACAAGGCCAGTGCATTGTCTGAGGAGTTGGGATTTGGGGTTTTCTTTTTAAGACAGGATGTGGTATATATCTCAGGTTGGACTTGAACTCGTTATAAAGCCAAGGATAGCCTTGCATTTCTGATTGTCCTGCCCCATCTCCTAATGCTAGAACTTCAGGCATGTGCCACCACGCCTGGTTTATGAAATAATGAGGAAAGAGCCCAGGACCCCACGCATACTAGGTCAACACTGCCAGCAGAGCTCCCTCCCCAGCCTGCCTTGAGTGTTCTAACCCAGCAGATCTGGAGCTGAGATACCCCTTGTCTCACAAGTTCCTGTTGAAGCTACAGCTGCTGGAGCTGAGCCCACACTCTGAGAACCCAGGAGTGATGCCCAGCCAGTGTACCTGGACAAGATGCTCCCCTTTGCCACTGAGGTCCTGCACTTTGGCTCAGGAATGACCTTTCCCGTCTTGCTGTTTAGGTTTGTCCACCCCCGTTTTGGGCCTATCAAGTGCATCCGCACGCTGCGAGCTGTGGAGGCTGAGGAAGAGCTGACCGTTGCCTACGGCTATGACCACAGCCCTCCGGGGAAGAGTGGGCCCGAAGCCCCCGAGTGGTACCAGGTGGAGCTGAAGGCCTTCCAGGCCACCCAGCAAAAGTGAAAGACCTGACCCTGGGGTCCAGAGACCTGGAGTGGAAACTTGGATCTATGCACTACATTTATCTGACAACGGGACAACCAGGGACTGTTCATGCTGTGACGTCACATCCTCTCACCCTGCGTTAGCAACGACTCTCTCGCATACTAACTAGGTTTGACTATTACTCATACCAGATTTAAAATTAGCTAGCCTTGCAGCAACGCCCTACGGAGAGGTACTGTCGAACTGTAGACAGCTTGATGTTCTTTGATGGTTGAAGTCTAAATCTGGACCACGTTCAGAGATACCAAATGATTCAGCTGATAAAGGGAAATGGGATTCTTTGGTCATTTTTTTGTCGATGGGGTTTTTTTTTTTCATGATGTTTTTTTCTATGGCCATTGCAAACGGTGTTCAGTCACCCTTGCATGTTGCCATCTGCGGGGCAGGAAGTGATTACATCTTTATATAAATGTAGGGTCATTTGCCTTTTAACCTTTGATCTGTATCTTGCAATAGAATGGCTTTGTTTTTGTTGTTATTCTCCTAGTGAACTGAAGCCCAGTCTTTTGAGCCTTTTCGTTAGCCTCACTCCCTACCTTAGCTATCCTTTACGAGAGAGAGCTTCCCAGTGGACTCTGCCTTCACAGCAGTGTCTAAGTCTCTCTTAGTTCTTTCTCTAGCATCTCATTCTTATGTCCTAATATAAAGTCCTGGCTCATAGGGCCAGACTGTTATTATAGACTTATTATTCTCGCATGTAAACAAAGATACCTTTGCTTTCAGATGTGAGAAGAAGCGAATCTGCTTTGTCTGCGTTAAGTTACGAAGGAGCTGTAAGATGCACTTTCAGGAAGAAGAGAGGAAAATTAGTGTGTCTAAGCAGTCATCGTGATAGTTTTGCAGTATATTCAGTAGTGCTGGCAATCTTTTCTCCTCGGGTACACATTCATTGTACATAACCTAGCGCAGTCTGGCTTGCGGCACGGCTCTCTGAATTCAAACTACAACAGCCAACGTGCATTCCAACACGGACTGCAGAATGCTCCCCGACAGCAGTGCCAGGAAGACAGACGCGCTGATGGCTAGGTGCGAATCAGATCTGTAGCTAAAGCTTTCTCCCCACCGTGATCTCAGAGCACTTAACAGGCTCTGCAAGCCAAGAGTTCACGCCTGTGCGGTCTCTACCAATAGTATATTGCCACCTCACAAGCCATATGTAATCACAACTGCAGAAACACCGAGGGAAAAAAAAAAACATTGTTTTAGTTTAGCTCACTAGATCTGTAACTTAACTGGATGGCTCTGAATGAATGCTGAGTTTGGGGGTCACCTCCCCCAAGGTGTCGCTCCATCATAAGAAAGCCTGGGAACAACCGTTTCTGAAGCCTGCAGCTGTCAATAGTGTTAGCTGTGGCCTGAGTTGGGTTAAGGTTTGAAGGAGCTCAGAATGGACAGAGATGCTTGCTGGGAATGGGCAGAGATGGAGGGAGGAGACAGGTCAAGGGACGTTTGCTCTTTTCTTTTTCTTTCTTTTTTTCTTTTTTGTCAGTTGCACGTTGCTCTTAACAACAGCTTTCGCAAGTGTCCCATCTGGGACTGCGCACAGCCTGCCCATCAAACAGCCCCAGAATGGAGGACTCAGCCTCAGCTGTGATAGCCACGCACCCTGGGCTCTTTTACAAGCTTCCTGACACACCCAGCTTCCGGCTCTGCACCTAGGTGGTGGGGTTTTCCAGGAAAGCTGGCTGCGGCCCTGTTTGAAAAGCTTGAGAAGATAGTTCCCTCGGGAGAAACATCCTTGGGACTTCTGAGGAGGTCTCCTGCAAGACAGCCGAATTGTTTTTAGACTACAAGTCACCAGGATAGGATCGCTTCTATTCTGTAGAAAGAGACCATGCAGGAAGCTGGGACCGAAGGCTGGGGTCTCTGGATTTGGATCCTGAGAGGTGCTTTCGTGTAAATGTGCTCAAAGGCAGTTGGCTGCTTCGGAGAGAAAGATGGCTTTCTTCAGCCACGTCAGTTGGGTGGTGAGACTAGGTGGAGAGATGGGGGGCAGAGGAGGAGAGGGCAGGTCCCACCTCAGATGGTGTGTCCACAGGTTTTCACACCCGGAGGTGGAACCCAGCCTCAGCTGCCATGGAGGCTCAACTCCTATCCTAAAGGGCTACTCTAGCGATCTCATTCAAGCTTTGTGACCTTGAGGACCAGCAAAATAGTTTAGCAAGTAAAGGTGCTTGTTGCCAAGCCTATGACCTGAGTTTCATCCCTAGGACCTCCATAGCAGGAGAGAAGCAGCTCTTGAAAGCTGTCCACGACCACACACGGTGTGGCGTGCGTGCACCCGCACACCAAAAATAAATCATCCTTTTTTTTTAATATATAAATGGATTGAAGAATTGTGGCCGGTGAGCTAGCTACTAATCTATGTTTCACATTCCATGCTGGAGGAAGGCAGTCAGGGCTTCAAGCCCAGCGCTCTGTACGTGACCCTTAGACAGATCACAGGAAGCAGTTCCCACAGCTGAACCGCTCCATCTTCCTTCTCCCTGTCTGCTTCCCGCATCTTTCGGTTCTCTTTCTGCTATGTGAGAAGCCTTGGTGTCTGCGCAGAACGGCAGCCCAGCTGATTGCTCTTCCTCTTTCTGTCTAGCGGTTCCTCTCCGGTCTTGCTTCACTGTCTGTGTGTCTTTCTCCGAGTGGGACCCATTCTGGTCACTGTTCGCGCCCTCCCCGAGATACGCAGTTCCGTTGCAAGTCGCAGAGGCCGGATGTAGTAGAGGCAGAGAAGTATTTGTGGAGGGTAGGGGATGTAGAGAGAATTAACCACCAGTGTAGTTTGAGGTTTGTTTCTCTTTTGAACCAAAGTGGAAAAGCATCAGAAAACACCTTCTACTTCGCGTCTACTGTAGAAGGAAACAGGAAGCAGGCAAATCTGGTCTTCCATCAGGATCAAAATCACAGACAGACAGGATTGAGAGTCTACATGGTAGGGGGAGAAGGATTACCCTTCTGCTGTCTTCCAAACAGCCGGGGCCTGTACAACTCGCCTGACGCCATAGTTGCCAGGGCATTCATTCAGAGCTGTCTCGGTCCAACCCCGCATGACTGGATCCATCGTTAGCACCTTTTGTATGATGAACTATTATTACCTGTGTTAGATTTAGGGATAGGAACTAATCTACAGAGCATGCCCCTTAGTGGGGACATTCGTTTGAACTAATAAGCAAATGTAAGGATTGAATTTAGGACATGAGGCTAAAAAGGCAAAGTGTAGGGAAGACTTGAGTTTTTAGTACCTATTCTTCCTTTAACCTGCTTAATTCCAGATCTCCCCTAGCAACTAAGAAGGAAATTTTTTGTCAAGACCTCTTTGAACCTGACTGGGACTAGAGTTCAGATTAATTACCCTTTGGGGTTCAACACACTTGAAAAACTATTTCCTTATCACCAAACCCCTCTCACACACACAGACACACACATACACGCACACACGCTCGTATGCACACGTGTGTGTGTGTGCCAACTGACGAGGCCATGAAACCATTTACAACATTTAACTGTGACAATTAAAATTGCATTGAGCCAGGGATGTAGCTCAGTGGTCCAACGATTACCTAGCAACCCGAGGCCCTGGATTACATCCCTAGGACTGGGGGCGGGGGGGGGGGCCCACGACCAATCATGAACACTGAATTAAAAGTTTGTCTTGTGAGACAGTATGTGGCACTATTATTAATCTTCACCTAAGAGATTTTTTTTTAAAAAAAAATCTAAATTTCTCACTGCAAAATACACTTAAAATCTTCTGAGAAGGTCAAAAGCTCTGGGTTTTGTCTGTTCTCCAACAGCCACCTCAAGTTCTGTCTTCAGAGTAGCGATTTAGAATCCAGACATCTTTTGTTTTAGACAAACAAGCAAAACTATGTTGCAAGATGGATAGTTGTAATGTTTATTTGCTGCAGATCAAAGGTTCTCAAAATACATTCAATGTAAGGGTACTTGAGGTACCTTGACAGATTCCTCCAATATACACCTTGGATTTTTTTTCCCCCTTCAGAAATATTAAGCCTTGGTGTCAGGGGTCTTTTTGCTTTGCTTAGTTTTGTTTTTGTTTTTTGGAGGGTTTTTTGTTTTGTTTTGGGGGGTGGGATTTTTTGTTTTGTTTTTTGGGTGTTTTGGGGGGTTTGTTTTCAAAAATACTAAATTTTAAAAGTTTTATTTGCCAAACGTGTGCATACATATTCAAAGCAATGAAACTATTTCAAGCCATACAGCTGCAGGGGTGGGAACCCTTTTCACAAATTTCAATGTGTTTGTATGTAAATAGATGTTTGTATGAAATATTTTCATGGTAGAATGAATATATTTAAATGAAGTTGAATTATTCCAGTGCTATTTAAAACATGACAAAATTTTTGGTGAGAATTATGAGTCTATTGAGATATAATGCAGATCAATTTTCATTTTTAGAAATCAAAAGCCTACAAAGCCCTCTGACTGGCGCCCACCTCCTGGCGGGGTGGTGTCTGATGTGAGGTAGGCTTCCCCAGTGCCTCAGCCGCTTTCTGGTGGTAAGTTCGGTGCTAATGGAGGTGTGTTTACCTTTTAGTGATTCCCTGCAGGCCTCTCAGGGGCCTGCGAGAGAATCGAGGCATTAGAGACACAGGTGCAGTTATCGGAGCACAATTTCTTAGCAGGGCAGCAGAATCAGAAACCAGACTTGGCCGCGGGTTTCCCCGGCCACCTTCACTCGCCACCCCTAACTGCCTAGTCACAATGTCAGGGAGGCTACCCTCAGTGGAGTTGGGGTCCAGACCCCGGGGTGGGACTTCACAGATTTACCAATGCTTTTTGCCTTCTGCCCTCCCTCTGTCCTGAGAGGGGGGCAGCCGCTGCCGGCAGGGCCCCCCCCCCCATTCTCAGCACAGTCCGTATCCGTCTCAGCTCTGGAAGACTATGCATCCAAGCACCCAACTTCACCAGAGAGGGAGACTTCCGCGGATCATGGAAACCCTTGACTCCTGTCTGTGACTTCGCACGCACGCAGTTGTTAAATGTCCTATGAAGATCATTCGTGTACCTAAGACATACCTCCCAATTCTTCTGACGCTTGAGTTACAGGAAAGGAAAACAAAACAAATTTTTTTTTCTAAAAAAAAAAAAAAAAATCCTTTACAATCATATGCCACTCAAGTGTGTTTCCCGACCCATCTTTGGTCCTGGATATAATGAAACAATAATCCGACAAATTGTCACTGTGTAAACTAGCAATATGAACACTGAGCCAGTACACCCTCCGCTGTCTCCTTGGTTACTGTACTTGCCTTGATTGACACTGCAGGGACTACGTACGTCATGCCTGTGGTTACATAAGAAAGTTATGAAGTTATGTCCATGATTTTTAGCTCCCTTCTTCAAATGTTTTTCCTCCTGGGTTTTCTATGTTCTCTCTACCCTAAAATGCATTTATTGGGTTGTGAGGTGTGTTTACGGAATGGAAGCCAGGGGCTATGCTTTCGGCCTTGATTGTAACCAAAAGTCAACCACATCACAGTTTAAAAAGAAAAAAAAAACAAACCATCTTTGGTCTTTTGTGGAATCTGAATTAAATCTATGAGCCTTATTCAATATCTATAATTCTATGATTTTTTTAAATTATGGGAAATTAATGGAAGATGTTTACATGAGTAATGTTTGCCCTTACTGTGTTATGAATGAATTTTTTTGTAGTGTGTCTGGGCGCATGTGCAAGAAAGTAGGAAAAATGTTTCTGAAACAAAACTTGACAAATATTTGTAATGAAAAGTAAACTTAAAGATTGCTATAATTGCGCTATAGAAACAATGCAAGTATTAAACAAAATATAAAATCCTCTGTTGTCTTTTTTTTTTTGGCTGTCTAGGGAAGAAAAGCAGCAACAATGCCCGTATGGTGGGCCTATCTATGTATTTAAGTTACTAAAAGAAGTCACACTGTACGCTGTTTAGCAATCCCAGCACAGGGATGGAGACATGACTCAGGGGTCCTCACTCCGTTAAGATCACACACTGGCCGGGCAGTGGTAGCCCAGGCCTTTAATCCCAGCACTTGGGAGGCAAAGGCAGGCAGATCTCTGTGCCTGCCAGGGCTACACCCTGTTCAAGTTCAAGACCAGCCAGGGCTACACAGAGAAACCCTGTCTCGAAAAAACAAAAACAAACAAGCAAAACAAAAACACCACACACCGCCCTGCTGGAGGCCTGGAGCTGCCAGCACCA